AAACCTTGTCATGTCCTACTATCAGGGCTTGGGGAAAAACTTGAGTTGTGGCCTTGATCTCTAATTCTGTTGGTTCAGTGTAGTAGGTGCTAGTCTACAATGCGAAGCTGGGGGCCAGGAGTTGCCACTGCTAGGGAAAAAATGTAGAGATTTCTCTCTATTAACTGTACCTTGACCAAGACTGATGAATAAGTGCCAAGCTTGAAGATATACAACTGTTGTCCGATCTCAAGACGAATGCCCCATTCAAACATTCTTTTATTTTTGCCTTCGTCTGTCATGCTCTCAGGGGAGTACCGGCCTAACTTTAGAAATTTCTAAGCATATTACGATATGACAAATTTCCCTAAAACAGGTGTGCAAACTCTATTTCTTTTAGATGTCAGAGATATTCTAGAAGATACTCAGCATTGAAAGCTGTCAAAAATTGTTCCTAAGTGATTGGAGTGGGTAGAGTAGCCTGCTTCAGTTACCACCGATGCCTTACCTCACCTACAAGCATATAAGTGGTAAGGACAACCTTCTGCTCAGGAACTTCTCCAAGGGTTATAAAAGCTTTTTCTGTCTCTGCTAACTGTACTCAGCTTCTTCAAAAGTGGATGTCCCTTTAAAAGTAGATGGATTGAGTCTCTTGTACCTCTCGATGTAGCCCCAGTCCATCATGGACAGAGCTGGGTCCTGTTGAAAAGGAACTGGGTTATGTTGGGAAGGGACCGGTTGGCTCTATGGCGGCACTGGGTTGTATGGAAAAGGCACCAAATTATACTACGGTGGTGCCAGATGATACTATAGAGGAGCAAGGTTGTACCGTGGGGGTATTAGATCCTCTCGATATGGAGGTGGCTCATACTGTGACAGGGGTGGATGGGGATCAGGCAACTCACTTCTCTCCTCCCTAGTCTACTGGGCAGAAATAAGTCTCCTAAATATCTCAAAGAGTCGATCAACATCCTCTTGAAGTGATTCCTCTCGAGCTGCTTTATTTAGTGGGGGTCTTCCTCTCCTCATGTTATTTTACCTACATTTCATAATAATAGTTTGAGATTTGGGTTTGCATTAATTTATCCTAACATTATGTGCAAGGAATAGTTTCAAGGAATGCAGTTCTGATACCAACTATAAAAGCCCAAACTTATACTTGGAATTCCGATAATATAACCTAGAAATAACGGGATAAAATAATATTGAAATTTATAGCTTAGTAAAAGAAATTTAGAGTTTAGGGCTACATTTCTTACACAATTTACTTAAAATATACAATAAAACTACGGAAATGCCCTTGAAAAACTTAAATAAAAAATAATAATAAAAAAATAAATATGGTCGACCTCTGCTCGAACCTGAAGAAGCAGAGAGAGAATCTCTTAGCTAGTTTTCTTATTGTTCAGAATCTGGGTCTTAGTCATCATGATCTGAAATGATTAATAATAAAAGGTGAGTTACACCAACTTAGTAAAAATATCAATGCCTTACCACTGGTACGAAAAATCAAAGAGTTGTAGAAAATTGAAACCAACCAATGGAGTTCATTTTAATAAAACTCATTTAACTGAAAAATGTTGATTTTTTCAACTCATCTGTAAGATCTTAAATATCATTTATTGAAGTAAATATCAGGACAACAATCTATAACACACATTTTAAAGACATATAACAATTAATCTTTCATTATTTCCTATAATTGGATTCATATCGCATTCATCTTTATCATTTTACCCTGTCTACCAGTGTCGCTCGGGATCCATAAGGGTCCCCACTACATGTGGATATAAGTATTCATTCTATAATCAAATGGTCATCCCATATCCCGTCTAATAATGGGCACCAAAATACACAACTACCTCAATACCCTGTTTGGTATGAGCATAAGTAAAATAATTCACAACCCCTTCCGGTATGGGACTTTTCAGCCCTGTTCGACTGAGGATTATATCCAAAGTAGGATTTACCCTATGTACCAAGTCCTTACACTCTTTCCTAAGACACTTGGTAAACCCTCTTATGAGACAACATTAATTGAAACATATCTTATTTATTTATTTATTATTTAAGAGACACATATATCTGTATCCCAACAACACATGAGTAATAAATTCATATTTTATGGTAAATACATGAAATAAGAATGCATTATACCGATAGAAACCTATTAAACACACAATTGAATAACAGGACAACATGTATAGAGAAGCCTTACCACGTTCGCTGTAAAATTTAAAACAACATATCAAAGTAAACAGTATAGTGAACAAAATAGTATAATAAACAATTATAGGGATTATTACTGCAATTAAAACACAAACAGAGATAAACTGACCGATTATTTGCTACATTGGCAACTTGTACTTTAATCAATTAGAGGATTGCATATTAACTAAAATTTTTTTATTTATTTATCAGTTTAGCTTCAATTTTACCAAACAGGAAAAAAAGGGTGAGAGTTTCTTACACTGGGTCGGCGTCCGGAATACGAGCTTTTTCACTACACTTCCCGATGGCTCTCAATTCTTGAATTTCTTGAATTTTTCTGCTAGAATCAAAATTTACGTCAAAATAGCGTGAAAATACGTGAAAATGGTCAAAAGGATAAAATTCTCACCAGGGGTCAGTTTTGGGATTCTGGTGTGGTGGCATCACCATGCTCCACCGCTAGTTCCTCTTTCTCCGACGGCTCCCCTCGGTCAAGTCGTTTTTGGCCAGTTCTCGATAAAAACCTATTTAAATCATTATTAAGGGGTGTCTATCGGCACAAAAATGGAAAAACTGATGCTTACCAATGATTTTTGGTCTCTAGTATGGGGGCTCAGTCGGGCTTTGTTGTTCCTTCCTCGGGGTTTGTGTTTATTTTCGGCTAATCTCCATAAAAAAATGTATTAAGGTTTAATGGGCGGAGGAAGTAGAAGAAAGGGAAGAAAAATCGCACTCAC